CTTCTGTTGATATAAATGTAATTTTAATTTAGCTTTTAGCTCCTCTTCTGTTGATATAAATGTAATTTTTAAGTCTTCTCTGAGCGGAGGCTTCAGCGCTCATCTGTCAGGAAACACAGTTATCAGACTCGGCAGCCTCTGTGCTCCCAGTCCACCCAGTTGCTGTTAAACATGTTTCAATGGGATTTACCTGTATAAATAAAGATTGATTGATTGATGTTGAGCCTGGACCCACAGCTTGTGATCCTGCACTGACCCCTCTGTGTGTCTGCAGGTCGCCGCCCGTCCCCGCTCTATAATGCCCCAGTGTTTGCAGCGCCTGCAGTGAGCGATGGCAGCCCAGCTGGTTTCCATAGACAAATACCCGAAGGGAGAGCAGCAGGTGGGTGTAAAGGAGACCTGCGGGCCTGCACAACCTGCTCGGAGGGCGTCACACTCAAACACAACAGCAGCTGGGGAGCTCCTCATTCTTCATATTCCTCTTATTGAGCAGACAAAGAACGCTTGGAGTACGTCGTCTTGAACTCTTGTCGTACTTGACTCCACTGTGAGTGCTTGGAACGTCTGACAGAACGCATCGAGCCGGGTCTTGGGCCAGTGCCTCTCGAACTGGGGGGGGGTTATTATAGCTAAAAATCAAGGATTTTAATTCAAGATCTTTAAACTGAAGGAGGCACGGTGGCTCAGTGGGTAGAGCGGTTGCCTCGCAGCGAGCAGGTTGCCAGTTCAAATCCCAGCCGGGGGCCTTTCTGGGTGGAGTTTGCATGTTCTCTCCGTGCTGAGTGGGTTTTCTCCGGGTGCTCTGGTTTCCTCCCACAGACCAAAAACATGCATGTTAGACTGACTGGCAACTCTGAACTGTCCTTAGGAGAGAGAGAGAGAATGGTTGTTTGTCTCTGTGTCCCTGTGATGGACTGGAGGTCTGTCCATGTGTCCCCCGCCTCTCACACAGTGATAGCTGGATATGCACCAGTGACCCCAGTGACATGAAAAGGAAGAAGTGGGTAAAGATGATGGATGGATGATGGATGGATGGATGGTGGATGGATGGATGATGGATGGAGGATGGATGATGGATGGATGAATGGATGGATGATGGATTGATGAATGGGTGGATGGATGGATTGATGAATGGGTGGATGATGGATGGATGATGGATGATTGATGGATGGATGGATGAATGGATGGATGAATGGATGGATGGATGGATGGAT